CAGATGAACAAAGAGTAGAATTTGCCTGGGCTTTAGTGTGACATTCTGTGAGATGGGGAAGGGCGATGGTTAGTACATACAAACCTCAGAAAAGCATGTATCCTAACAACAAAAACAGAACCCACTGATCGAATGACTAAATAAAAATGAACCACTGTTTCCACCCCAGTTACCATTACCCCAGCCCCAGCCCAACTACAATTACCGCCTCATCCTGATCAGAGGAAATATGCAGTTCTGCCTGCTGCACCAAGAGACATCAACCAACCTTGCCTCGGTCCATGTTAACTGAGAATCCTGCCTGAATAGAAAGCTTAACACTAACAGACTCTCGAAACAAGTGTAGCTCTATCTGCAAAGCCTTCAATGGCCTAAGTTTTTCTGGAACTAAAGATTAGACTTTCTAAGAGGGAGGGGAGCCAAATGACATGGTGATTGTAACCTGGTCTGATAAGCTTTCAACAGGAGCCCAAGAGTTCCAGCAATCTCTCCAAGTAATGTGCTGGGTCTCTGCTCAGGAACAAAGGACTTCCTAGGTCAGGGAAGGAAAAAATACTTAATGTACATTAGCTTGTGGTTAGAAAATACTGAGTTTAAAAAAAAAGAAAAGAAAAGAAAACAAGGCTCCTTTCCTTCAATGGAAGATTCTGCAGTGTTAAAACAACACTTTCACAGGCATATGGGTAGGTGCTGATGGAGTATTTGCTTCTCCTCACTTCCCAGGCATAGTTTCCAGCAGCGTCTCCAGAACCAGAATTTCTAAGTCAACCTGATATGGAAAAGCTTGTGTTTACTGAGGCAAAAGGACCCTTTGGGTACAAAAACCAGGCAGAACTGGGATTAAGTCTGACATATATTAATTAGTGCTAACCTGCCACAGAGTGAAAGGAACTAAAGAAATAGCTCCTAGAGCTACTTCATACGGTTTCTTTCCAGAGAGCCGAACAGGATAAGAGCTGGAAGACTGCTCTCCTGCAAAATGGCCTTGTGGGCAAGCAGCACAGTGCAAGCAGGATCGGTCTACCGCCCTGCGGTCCCACTCATACCTTACCCTGTTGCCACAGCTTAACTGACCACCAGACCTCAGTGTCTGGGCAAATCCTCTCTCTCCTTCTAGCAATGGTTCTCATGTGGTGGTCAGAGAACCAGTTGCATCAGAATCACCTTGAAAGCTGCGTTTCATTAAACAGAGATTCTTGAATACTACCCCCAGAAAGTATAAATTTAGTAGGTCTGGGGTGGGGTCTAGGAAATCTGTATTAAAAAAATATATTCCCCCAGTACAAAACTGTATAATCAATTGACTGTCTATTAAAATTGAAAATGCAGGCACACGCACAAAAAATGCATATGCAATATGCACCCTTTGAGACTCAGCAATCCCAGGCACTGCTAGGAATTTGCTTGTGAAAGGTATGTGGACAAGGATGGTTCCTGCACTGTTATTTGTAATAGCAAAGAACCGAGAACCATTAACACATCCATCAGTAAGAGAGTGATTACATAAATGCAGCACGTCTAACAGATAGTCTGTGGCAGCGGCCCCCAACCTTTTTGGCACCAGGGACTGGTGCTCCTATGAGAATCTAATGCCTGATGACCTGAGGTGGAGGTGAGGCGGTGATGCTACTGCTGGGGAGCGGCTGCAAATACAGATGAAGCTTTGCTCGCTCACCCATGGCTCACCTCCTGCTGTGTGGCCTGGTTCTTAACAGGCCACGGACAGGTGGCTTGGGGGTTGGCTGGTCTATGGAAAGCTAGGCAACTATAAAAAAAGAATATCACTATAAAACAATCTCCAAGATATACTAAAATTTTAAAAACCTAATCAAGGGGCAGAAGAGTGCTACAGTTTAAACACAATTCCTAATGTGTTTCAAATATATATGTACATCCACATATATACTTATGTCAGTAGATGATATACATGCTGACATACGTGGAACATAATTTAGAGGCAAAATTCTGTTAGCAATACCCTTGAGGAGGAGAAGGGTGCTGGGGACAGGGAGAATTTCGCTTTCAATATTATCTGCATTTTTTTGAATTTTTATAAGAGTTTATTTGAGCCAAACTGATAAAATGTGCTAGGGATCAAGATCTCAAATTCTCCCTACTGCTTTAATTTTATTTTTTAATGTCAGTAGGGGATTGTCTGGGTCATGGAATCATGGGTCATCTTTATTTTTTCTTTCATTTATCTGTTTTAATACCTCGAGAAATACTTGAAGTATAGTCAGATTTGAAAACCACTGAAGCAGCCCTGGGTGCCTCCAGATCATGCAAATGTTACACCTGACAACCCTCAAAAGGTGGACTGAGACGGCAACAAAGGGCATGGGTGACAGGGGAGGACTCTGGCGTATTCTGGGATGGCTCACAGGGTAGATGAGACAGGCTTCGGACTTCAAGGCTCCTAAAGCAGAAGGCCATTTCTGAAGTTTTCTCCAACCAGAGAATAAAGTGAGGGGCAGAGAGGTTAAACCTCCCAGCTAGACACTAAAAACTGTCCCTTCAGAACATAGGGAATGAGTTACGGGAAAGGGGATGAGACAGACACACATCGGCAGGAAAAAAGAAAAGAAAATTTAAACTGTGATACGCGGCTTACAGACAATCAAGAAGGCATAGAACAGAATGAAAACAGATCAGTGTTCATATCCTCAGCCCTTGGGGTCAAGAATCCAGGGCCCTTGTTATAGAATTATCATCCCGATGCTTTCGGGCTGCTCTCCAGATGTTTAACTAAAAAACCAGCGGGCTAAGAAGATCCTATGAATGTGCAGGTTTCCAGATCAGGGACTTTTAACTTGGATAGCTTCTGAAAAGAGGATGCCAGATTTAAAAGCATCAAGACTGACACATTGGAAGCACATCTTAAGTATACTAAGACTAGCAGAAAAAAGAGCACATTGAAAGAATGTCAATAAATTGAAAGTATGTGCTTTAAGGGATTAAAAATTTTTTTTTTCTCATAGGAAAGGAGGAAGTAAGTCTCTATTTAAAATAATTTTAAGCAGCAACATTAAAATATCTTGATTCAAAATATCAGCCCTTTTAGACTCATTCTAGAAGGATGATTATAGTAGTTTTATAAGTTTAAAATGATCAGAAACATCTAATGAAGGAAAAGGTTATCCATTTAAACATTCTGTTCTCTTTTAAAGGAGTATGATGCTACTTAGAACACAATAGTACATGAGTAATCACTAATGGTGAGACTTAGAAATCTTATAGATTCATTACCTAGAATAGACTGGACTGATTTGATATCAGAGCATTGTAAGATTTTTGGTTAAGAGATGTTTTTAAGGACCAATATTGAAATGCTTAACACTCAAAGTGCTAATACTGAATCACGAGTTAGTATTGGAAGAAGGAAAGATAAAAACAGAAGATGACTTTATTACACCAGAAGTACAGTATACACGAGACACATGGCAGAATGGAGGTCTCAGTGGAATAGCTGAGGACCTGAGAACTTCTGAGTCTCTCACAAAAAAGTCGACATGTATAAGCTTCCACTGGAAAGAGAGTAAGTCACAGCTAAAATGGGCCAAATGTCCAAATGTCATTCTGAAACATAACTTTAAAGCGTTGGGAAATCAATTCAAGAATCACAGAGATGTTCATACTCCATGCTGAAAAATCATCGAATACATGGTCACAAAATACAGACATGAAAGTGGATGAGTCCAAGAGCTGCCATCTTGGATTAAGATGATGGGACTCGGAGAAGGTACAACAGCCACTTTGCTTCCATAAACATGACTGTACTTACATATTTGAATAGAAATTTAGTAGACCAATGGCAAAGATGATATCAGAATCTACTCATAAGAGGTGGAAATCTTTTCTGTCATCTTCTTGATGAGTAACAAGGACATACTTCCCAAGAGCACACATGTCCCATGCTCTCAATATAGTTAAAAAGAATTCTGCTGCACTGTTTGCCACCTCTTGAAACAAAACGTGATGGTTTGTTGGTTTTAATTCACTCACTGTTGCAGCCGCTGCTGCCTCTAGTCCCTGTTGGCTCGGGGTTGGGCTGACTGGGACCTCCACAGGTTGCCCTTCCTGATAGTGAATGGAAGAAAAGAGGAAGGGAGACGGAAACGAAAGAGGGAGGGAGTGAAAGGGGAGACGAATGGAGGGTACATGGAAGGATGAAGATGGTCAGAAAAGGAGAAGGAGGGTCTCATAACTCAGCTGCTCTCCAACAGGAGCAATACTCTAACAGCCGTATGAGAGTCATGCAAAAAGATCTTTTGGGTTTTACCAGGCAGCATCATATGTAAGAATTATCTCATAGCCAGAAATGAACATTTGGCAACTTAAGTGTGTGTGTGTGTGTGTATAGGATTCATATGCACATATACATTAAGTAAACACAAGTATTTATGCTGCTTTTTAAAAAGAAAAAAAAAAAATCAAAGTTCTTCAAACCAACTCTTTTTCCCGGATGTTTTGGTTGGTCAAAGTATCACTGTCTCATTTTAAAAGAAAACGTCTCGGCGGCAGCCCTGTGGTTGCCCAGGCAAACCACATGAGTGGCTGCACCCAGCTGTAGCTCTTGCAGCCTCGCTTTGGCTGACGCTGCTGCATCTAGACAGGCCCAGACCTGGATTTTGCTGAGCACAACATGAGCAAATCGTGACCAGGAAAGGTAAAAACTTATGACTGATTCTCTGTACCTGAGCTACTCAAAGCTGAATCCAAATGTCCAAGCAGCAAAAACATGTTTGTTTGTTATTTTAATTTCAGCACTCATGCGGAGATATGACACAAATGCATTTTAAGAGTATATAGACTTATGCAAAATTCATTAGCTCCAATGAGGAATTGCCTTGATCTTTAAAAAAAAAAAAAAAAAAGAATCTCTTAACTTTCAACAACAGAAATACACCCACCAAATGCTTCCTCCTCAAATACTGATGGCGCAGCACCAGTGGTTTAAACAGCAGCATCCATGGTACACACAGCAGCGCGACCACTACCAGGAAACACTGAATTCCTTTCTGCAAAGTAAGAAGGACAAGAGACATCACATTGATCAAACATGCACTTTCGAATTTCAGCACAAATTTCCCCTAAAAAAGTACTTTCTTACCGATCTGTGAATAACGCTATCCAGTTTCTCAAAATAATTAGCAGATGTTGTGGCAAAGCCCAGGAATTGTCCCATAGGATGTGAGTTATTATCTAACACTTTCTAGATACAGAAATTACAGTAGACCCTCCCAAGTAAAGAGGATGGGTTGAGTTTAGATCTGGATATGTGGACTGAAAACCAAATACTACAGAAAGGGACTTTTTAAGGCTTTTTTAGGGTCACAAAAACATCTAACTTCCTGACCTAGGGTAACCACCTAAGACAGTCCACTTCTGGGCTGACGCACCTGTCCAGAATACAGCATTGAATTACCAGACTCTGGGTAGGAAAAGAGGAACATGTTTATGAAATGGATCAGAAGGCTTGGTGCTTTCTTAGATGTATGAGCGTCATAGGCCGTCCACTTGTAAAAAATAAGGATAACCAAGTAGCCAAACAAAGAGGTCATGAAGATTATTTCGGGAATAAATCCAAAGTAGATATTCAGGGGCTTCCTGAAATAACTAAAAAGAGAGAAAAAATGTGAAAGGTGAACAGACTCAGGGTCATTCCTATACCAAGCATAATCCTCACTAGATTTTCGCCTAATGGTCCCTCAACTTTTCATCACTTGAAGAAGCAAGAGCCAGAAGCACTGGAGGCGACAGAGACAAGCAATACTACTGTGACTTCCAAACTTTTGGACCCTGGACAGCTGCAGTAGCATTGCCATCATTCTACCCTGAGAGAGACTGGGAAATCTAGTACATTATGAGACCACAGTTCATAATTTTATATGAGTTACACACCAAGGGAAAAAATAACTTGTTTTGATGAAAATTACATAAGGTTTTCTCAAAGATTTTTACTACAATCGTAAATTGTTAACAGACTAATATTAAGTAAGCCTCATTTAAGAACGTGCAATTTTTATAAAAGCACTTTAATGTAGAACGGGGTTCTGAGTTACTAATTCTTCCCCAAAGATGTTGTGATTTCTTTAGGCAAAAGCATTATCTAAACTACTCACATTCAGATGACAGAAACAAAGCAACTCACGTATGGTTGAAAAGGCTCAGGCTGACACCAAACAACATGTGGATGATACCAAGGATAACAGACATCTTCATCTTAAAGGAGTTGAGGAAGCTCAGTTTATTGGTAGCAATGTTCCAAATCTGTCATGACCCAAAAACCAAAAAGGTGTTATACAGAGTTCTCAAATGAAAAAATATTCACCTATTTTAAAAAAGTTTTTTTTTTTGTAAACATACTCCCAAGTACCTATCACCCAACTTCAACTGTTACGTACACTCATCTTACCAACTCACAGTCAATCTTGTTTCATCACACCCCCAACCTGCTCCCCACTTCCATATTATTTTGAAGCAAATTCAGATATAATATCATTTTACCTGTAAATATTTCAGTACAGATCTCTAAAAGGTAATGATTCATTTTTAAAACATGACCACAATACTGTTATCACACCCCAAAGCATTAACAGTAATTCTTTAATATCATGAAATATATAGTCAATATTCAAATTTCCTTAACTGTGTCTAAAAAAAATTTTTTTTAATTTCATTTATTCCAAGTAGGGTCCAGATAAAGTTTCTACACTGCAATTGTTGACACAGCTCAAAAGTCTCTAAACTATAGGTTTTCCCTCGAGCCCTCTTTTTTTATTCCTTACAAAATGTTTGTTGAAGAAATGAGGTTAGTGATCTTGTAGATGTTCCCACAATTTGTTTTGCTGATCACATCCCTGAGGCACAATTCCATCTACTTTTAAATATTAATTGCCTTAAGCTTTGTCCCCTGAGGCCTGGATGCTTGTAATATATTTTCTGACAGTTCTGCCTGCACTTGGCCATCAGATTACATTTTCTAAGTTGTGACTCTGATGCAGTCATTTCCCTGAGCCAAAACTTCCCCCAAACTCCCACTGTCATCTCTAAAGTGCAAACTCTGTAGCCTGATAAGCCTGATCTTCAGCCATTTCCTGAACTGACCTCTCCACTAAGAGCTCATCCTCAGTGACCTCTAACCTGAAAACTTATGACCGGTTCTCTCTTCCAGCCCCAGACTCGCCTGAAAATCACCTCTACAACTCCAAAGTCTGTACCTGGGTAGCCCACAGGCACGCCAAAGACATCTACCCTATAAGCATCAAATGAAATGTCTGCAAAAAAAATTCTTAACTACAGAATATTATAGAAACATTAGGTAATGTTATTATTAGACTCCAAACTACTTGAGGGCAGGATCTATGACTTAAAATTCTGTTTCCCCCAGAAGGCACTATGCCTTGCAGACAATAGGGATTCAATAAACATTTGTTAAATGCATATGTAAAGTGTTATTAAACCTCTCCAAGCTTCAGTGTCTCTATCTGTATAATAAGGATAGCATTACCTCCCTGTTAGAATTGTTTGAGGATAAATCAGATATGCTTGGTATACAGGGCTTGGTATAGTGCCTGGCCCATCGTAAGCATTTCAGTAACATTAGCTTCTATAACAATAAAATAATTAACTTGGTATCTCCCCATCTCTATGCTTTTGCCCACACTTCTCATCTGTAACAATCTGAAATATTTTTTAAAGGTGAGATTAATTCCTATTTTTTACAAGAAACCTTAATCTTTCTGGTCCATAATGATCTGTTTTTCCTCTGGAATTTTGTAATCCTTACTGTTTAATGTTTATTCTTAAATTCCCCTCACCCCCTTGTTAAAGCACATAATACAAAAGATTTGATCACACTTTATCTGCCTAAGTATGTGAAAAAAAAATTAAATTCTGGGATAAATTCTTGTAAGTATGTAAATATAAAAATGGAAATCTAAGCCCATGGGAGAAAAAGCTATTTCTGCTATGTTAAAACTTCTGTGAAAAATAAAAACCAAACTAAGTTAAATAAAACAAATTAAACTCAGAAGGAGTCTTGAAAATCAGTCTCCCCAGAGTCAATATTATTAACTATCTCTGAAATAAGCAGTGAAGGAAAAATTATTTGGCTTCAAAGCACTTGGGTCTTTTATGGCTCGAAAGTACACTAGACAGATGAACCAAGTTTTTTCCAAAAATATATCAACAAAAAACCCAAATAACTATTTACTTTAATTCTCTTACTTTAGGGTCACAATTTAAACTTTCAGTGTCAGACATATAGGAAAGAAGCGCTCTTACTGGATCGATGCCGAAAGGGTATGGTCCACCAAAAACTCCAGGGATGGCTGGGTTCAGCTGGAGCACAGGATTCCCCCGAAGCGTCTCCTCCCTACCACGTTAGGAGGAAAGTTGCACTTATTTTTTAATGAACAGAGGGGAACTACTAGGGTCCAGAAACTGATCCCAAAGAAACTACTAAAGCTATCTCGTCTCTTCAACAAAATAGGAGGAATTAGCATCTGAGATGAGAAGGGGTTGGAGATTAAAAAAAGAAAGAGAAGAAAGAGAGAGAGAGAGAGAGAGAGAGAGAGACAGAGAAAGAAAGAAAAAGAAAAGAAAGAAAGAGAAAAGAGAAGGAGAGAGGGCGGGAGGGAGGGAGGAAGGGAGAAAGGAAGGAAGGAAGGAAGGTTGGTTGATTAAAACACATACACAACCAAGCAGGGAATCCGGGGAATCTGCTTTTAATTTACAAAAAGAATCAATATGCCAATTTATAGTCTCAGTTCCTTCATACTGCTGAATAAATCACAAAACAATTCCCAGGCTGGAGCACAAATAAGAGACCCTGCATTAGTCTCAAACAGAAACATTTTCAACCACCTCCTAAAGAAGTGTTAGTTTACCATCTGTCTGAAAAATCAGAGCTGAATATGAAAGGAATAAGCTTTGACTTTTAGCTTCTTTTGCAACTTACGTCCAATTATATATATTGAACATTGGCCGTACGCTCCAGGATGACCCGAAGACATTAAGAGACTTGGAAAAGCAATCGTTGTAGATGAGGCCAGTGTAGATGGAGAACACGCCCATCAATAGGATAATGTATCGGCCACTGAACACAGTGCTAAACATCTGGGAACCAAAAGAAAGAAGTTAATGAAATGTATGTACTGTAGGTCATGCTGTGACAATGTTACTCAGAATATGCTAGACCCTTCCTCTCACACTACTTTACTCTGTGTCAGGGGTCAGCGAGCTTGAAGTAAAGAGCGAAATAGAATGCTAACCAGAAACTCACGTTCACAGCACGTGCCCTTTTTAGTGTTAAAATGAACATAACTCCTCTATAAATTCATGGACAAAAGACTTCCAGATGATACTTTTCATAATGAATGCTTGAGAAATTATAAAGTTGTTCGGTCTAATGCAGATGTAACTCAAACATTACCTCATTCTCATTCTTCTGGGAGAGGATCCGGCTCTCTCTTAACACCATCCATACAGCAAAAAGGGTCATCAGAATGCCATGGCCAAAGTCCCCAAACATCACAGCAAACAGGAAAGGGAAAGTGATGATGGTATATGGAGCTATAAAAATAATCAAAGGATGTCAGATGGGCACTAGACTTATCGGGGAGATCACTTCTTAAGGTATATAAATGTCTAATCAGTATGGTGGACACCTGAAATTAAGAGAATAGTGTAGGTCAACTGTAATTAAAAAACAAATTAAAAAAAAAAGAAACCAAATGAGGAAAAAGACAAATATAGAAAACCACAGCAACTCCCAACACGTCACATTCCTCTCCACACTCTAAGATCAGCACGAGGTGACTTATTCCCAAGCTGCTGATCAGACAGAATCTCAGAGAAACTCTTTCCTGGTGGGATCTGCACACCTCACAAAGCAGCTCCGATGGCATCTGAGCTACTGCTAGCATTTTAAACCAAGAAAAACACAGGAAGTGAAAGTTTTGTCTCTAGCATTGGCAACACTGTGGTTTGTTCTTTGATTCCTGTTTTCTAACCCCTGGGACACTGGGGCAGGCTGGCTTTCTTCTCTCGTGCATCAACCACCTCCCAGTTGAACATGGCTACTAGGTGAGTGGGAGAAAGCCCAGAACCTGGAGCAAAGAAGGTCCTCAGAAGACTCCAGCTGAAAATGAGTTCTCAGACTCCTGATTTAATAATTAACAGGGGAGAAATTTTCCCTGTGCCTAAAATGGTCAATAATTGCTCTATTTTCCCTATCTAACCTGGAACAGAGAAGCCGTTTAAAAACGTCAGATATTTTAGAAAAAAAATTTTGTTTAAAGCAGTTCCTGCAAATGGTATGCTAAAGGAAGACAGGTATTTTATAGTACATACAGAAGAATCCAATCCACTGAGTTCGTTCCTATAAAAGCATCTTATTAAAAAAAAAATAAGATTTTTTCTGCTGTTGGATGGGAAATTGAATGAAATAATTTCTATACTTCTTTTTATTTAATAATAAAATTATGAAAATTTTATACAGTCAAATTTCCATTGTTTAACTTTCACTTCATAATCAACAAGTTTCTCTAAATAACCTGTTCTGTAAAGCCGCCTCTTAAAAGGAGTGCCCCCTGGTGATACGCCTCACTCCCTATGTCAAAATGGGCACACCTTACAGGAATCACACTAGGGCTGAGGTCTTGACATCTTTTGTTTTAAGTCTATAGCATTTAAAGTGAGACATTACAAGATAACAAACAAAAAATAAAACCTCCAGAGGGAAATGATTCAAGCTTTTTTACCTGGATTTATCTCTCGGTAAGTTCCAATCCCGTAAGCGTCTACTATGTTCTGAAAGCCATATGTGAACTTGTTCGTTTTGTTATAGGTGGGGGGAGTCTGGTTTGTCTGCATCCTGTTCAAAATGGAGGGCACGGTGGAACCACTGTGCTCCTGGGGAACAGCAAGCACAAGGACCGAGGTTAGGGCATCCTCCCGAAGGGCCGCGGTGGCTGCACGGGCGCGCGCATTTGTCAAGACCCATGGAACTGTACACGTAGAATGTGTGTGTGTTTGTTTATGTACATTTTATCTCGATCTTTCTCAGTTTTTGGAGAAACTAAAATTAAGTATAAAATTTACAATGAAAGATTTAAAATAAGTCTTGGGAAGAATTTCCTTCCTGTGAAAGAAATTTTAAATGAGTAACCAAAGAAAACATGGAACCCCTTTCTCTGGAGACATCGTCATCCGCTTGCTCCCTCATGGAGAGAGCAAAGCATATTCTCTGTCTCTCCTCCGTCCACCTAAACGCCCTAATCCCTTGTAGTCCAGTTTAGTCAAAGTGGCTGGCTCACCGCCAGATCCAAAGTCTCTTCTCTGGAGGTCTTCTTCTTCTTAGGTGAAAACCTTTATTCCTTAGGAGTTCCCTCCTCACTAACCATGCCTTCTCTGTCTCCTTGCTGGCTTTTCCTCCTCTGCCTATCTACAAACATTGATGGGCCCCTAAGGTTTACCTCCTACTGTTTTGGTTCATTCATTATAATTCCTATTCTTTCCCAACCATGCATGGTTGTACTGTATGTACTTCCTGCCTTTGTCCATATTGTTTTCTTCTCGGTTGCTGTCAACATCTTACTCATTCTTCAAAGCCCCCGTGCCACTTTCTTCCTGAAGCTTTTGTCTGATCATCTTAGCTGGAAAAGCTAGCACCCTCCCTCCGTGCACATAAACCCCTCTTAGCACAGACGGTCTTGTATGCTAGCCACTCCAAGTAAACTGTAGGATACCCGAGGGCTTATTTTTTACATTTCTACCTAGATCAGTGCCTTGAACAGGGCAGAAGCTCTAACTACTAAACAGGACTGCCAGGGTTATACTACGGAAGTAGTGTAATGGACAAAGAGAGTGGATCAGGAAGTTGACATCCTAGTCATGAGCTACCCAGAAGAATAATGGGTATATAATCAAGTCATTTAATCTTTTTTGAACTGTAGTTTCCACTTTTGGAAAACAAGGATACATATATGAAATGTATTGTCAGGATATGAGATGAGTACCAGATAAATATGTTAAAGAACTAGGAAAGTAAAAATGCCAAGAAAATGTAATTAATGTTACTGCTGATGGGAAACTCTTTTCCTGGCCATAGATAGACTGCACTGCTGGGGGGACTCACCGTGCCCCTTCTGAGTGCAAACTGGATAGAGTCAAGGTCAGTGACAGGGCACCAGACCTCCGCAATCAGGCACTTCTGGGTCACGTCTATGTTGCACAGGTTCAGAGTGTGGTAGATGGCCTTCATCTTCCGCACTTTGATGAACCAGACACGGATGTTCTTAGCAGCTGCCTGCAGAACCCTCTGGCGGTGATCCTCTGTCTGATTCAGAACCTTTGGAAGAGAAAGGAACACAGGAGAGACCCTTCTCATTCCAGTCTTAGATTTTAGAAGATGAACGGCAAAGAGGCACAGCTTTCTGAGAAGGGTTGCTGGGGATTTGTTTTTTCCTTCCTCTGACGACAATGGCTTCTTTTTCTTTCTTTCTTTCTTTTTTTTGCCAAATTATAAGAAATTAGAGTTCCAGTCACTAACATTCATTTTTGTTTAGTTTCAAGCTCAAGAGAAACCTGAGAAAATGCTTTTTAGCTTTTCTCTATATATTTCATCTTACTACCAAATCCATGGCACAAGGTAGGTCATTGGCTTTTACTAGGATCATTAAAAAGTGATGACTTTCTATGTGAAGCACCGTAACTCAGCATCACAGACCCAAGTGTTGATTAAGTACCAAGTCTAAACTTAATGATAGCAAGCTGCAGAATCCTCTGAACATAAGCCAGCATCAGGGAGCCGAAACAGGAGACAGAAGGCACCGGGGTCAGGAAGACCCAGAGGCTTTAGAGGAGACTTAGACTGCCACATACCACTGTCATCATGGGGCAGATCAGCCTTTATCTTCTGGTCAGGCTTCTTGTGGGGGGAGGGGATGTTTCAGTGCTGATCCTCTGAAAACCAGTACAGATTCCCCTCAGAGAAATCATACTTCCAAGACCAGACTGCGAGGAAGGAGCAGGGACACTGTACATTCTACTGCCTTGTTTATCGCCAAATATTTAATATTTCAATAACAGAAGAGGGGCTAAGCCAAAACTGGGCAGGCAACCCACCACTCACACTTCTGCATGAGAACCTATCTCGAATCTCTATAATTCTTTGAAGAGGAAAAAGCTACATGCTAACCATTTTAGCATAAGTCTCTTCAAGTCCATTTAGAAAAAAAGTAGTAAGTACTCCCTGAAAAACTGTCTTGGGAAGTAGAAGGTGACTTCCATGGAGAGGTTTAAAAAAAAAAAAAGCAATGGCATACTAGGGAAATTCTTAAATCACTTGAGAATAAAGGAACAAAGCTTCTTTCGCTTCTTCTGGCTGTTGACAATTTTATCATTGCTATTAAAACTTCTGGAATGACGCTAACTAAACTTGCAAGCAATGTTCTATTTGCTTTTCTCTCTCCCCATTCCCCACCCCACATATCACTCCTTGGTATTCAATCTCTTTATAAAGTTTCAGTTCATACGGCTGCGTTGCACATGCTCTTTAAGATCTACTCATAAGTCTGGGAGGGGATAAGACAGTCCTAGAACCCAGACTGCACTAATATGGCCTATCGCTCACCAGCTGTTTCGGTTTAACAGATAAGTATATCTCAAAGGAGCCGGCAATAGGCCAAGATGGTGGGTCACATACAATGGGAATTGGAGGGAAAGATGAGGAAAGGAGTTGAAATGGGAATTACAACAGATCTTTGCCAATTTTGCCACTGCTGGAAGGAAATGCCTTCGGGGTTGATGTGTTTATTAATGTTTCAAGGGGCAATCATCACATTCTTTCAATAGCGAACAAAACTCCAACTGGCCACCCTTCTCCTCCCACGTATGTATAAATCATAACTCCTTCCTTAAAACCCTGGGACACCCATAGTGTGTGTAAACCACACACACTGCAATTTGGTAAAAGTCTTGTAACACAATCTCTTTGTGGGTACAGAGTTACTTTACACCAGGACTCTGGCTAGATTGTGTGGTTAAGACCCAAGGTGACCAGAACTCTTAACACCAAGATGTTAAGAGTGGTCGCCTCTAGAGTTACAGTGCATGTGTGTGTGTGAGGGTGAAAATGACTTTATACATATATCTGTATTATTTGACTTTTTTGTCTTAACTAAGCATACTTTTAAAATTTATTATAAAAAATATCTGACTCACGAGGAGGGGAACTGAATACTCTAAATGACAACCATTTCAGACGCTCAGCATTCCTCTCTTGTTTGAGGATGATTTATGCTGTTTTTAACAGTCATTCCCTGAAACTTTTCCCCTGCTCCCGAGGGACTTTTGTTTTTTTGGCACCCCGAGTGGCTGCAGGTACCTAATAAACTGTGTTTCAAGGAAGGAGACTGGTCTTCTATTTCAGTATTTCACAAAACCAAATTCCCTCCCACCGCCTGTGTACCATTTGGAGATCGTCAATCCTGGTATTAACTCCAGACGCCATTTCTTTCCTCTCCTGGGGTGTCTCAGGACAGGGGTAGAGCGAGGCCCGGAACCTGGAATGTACAGACACAGCCTGAAGAACACGGAAGTTTCCTAACCTATCCTATGTAAATAATCTCAGAAAGTAATCCTCATTTACTAGAAAGGCAAAAACAGGATTAGTTCAGGCTGACGCACTAACCCATAATGATTATTTATGGAAAGTGGCCTACAGACAGACCAATAACATTTGAATTATCTTGACATTCTCCGTAGCTATTAAAGTCCCTTAGATTTAAAAAAAAAAAAACCCTAAAAACCAGTAATACAAGTTATATTAGGAAAATGGCACGGAAGAAAGATCTTACGGGCAGAATTTCAGAAAAGTTTAAGGGCACGGTGCCTGTGGCACGCTGCTGGGTATGCAAACCCACTGTCCCAGAACAATGTGCCATTTATAAATCATGAGTCCTGATTACTTTTTTTCAAGGAAAGGAAATTGTGGTTTTGAGAGTACTTTAAAAAATGAACTTAGGCCATTTTTAATTGTTTAAATTAGCCTTAATGTTATTAAAAGATATATTCACCATGTCAAGGTAGACTAATAGGGTTCGTGTTTCATCATACTATATTAAAGGCTTAAGAGTTAGGCGGCATGGTTGCATCCCTGGGGGGGGAGGCATGTTTCTCTTACCCCTCGCAGATTTTCTTGACTCTGTTTTTCAGCTGATCGCCTTGGAAGAAAATAATGAACACAGACTTGTGCACGTAGTCACCCTAGACCCCAGAGCAAAAACCAAGCGTTCAGACTTTTGATCTGGAAGAAAACTTTTTAAATAACTTACTTTTTTGGTGATACAGAAACAAGAACCCTTTAAGGATATGGCAACCCCGTACTTTAACCACAATCCTCCACCTACTTCTTAAGCTCTACTATAATAACATGTGATCTTTAATAGTTTCTGTATTTGTTTTTAAACTCAACCAAGGGCTTGACGCAGACTCTAAGATGATTCTTCTCTTAGCACAATTTATCCCTATTTACCAATTCAACTTTAAACCTTACATTGCCTGAATGGCATAAGTACAGAGGAGAGGAAAGAGAAGGGAGCCATTCCTGTCCGTTTCCATGCTTAGAAATTTCCAGATAAAAGGAACTGGATAACTACAGGAGACTGGGGAGAATGTTGATGTAGAATCTCTTGATCCACGCTGGCTAGATTTTAGGGGGCAGGGTAGAGGGCAATCCATTCCAACTGCCAAGTTTATACCTAAGGTCTGATGCTAAGACTGGAAGGAAAGACCAGAAGAATAAGCTCTACAGGGTGTTAACCAGGATTGTCTCTGGTTGCCTATATTTTCTCATATTCCTATAGTTTTTCTAATAAGAAAACAAGCAAACAAAACTTTAGAAGGATAAAAGGGGATAAAGAATGAAGAATAATCAGTCTCTTAAGTTCCTAAATCCTCTAGGAATAAACTGGAGCACATTTGTGGCGCAGCTGCTCCGCTGTAGCTATCCAGACCCCACTTTCCTCGATTTGTTGATAAAATAGTTGCTGTTGCCCAGAAACTTCGCTGGATACTCCTGAGTACAGCTCCACATTAGGAGTGACTGCAGACTGCAGTGTCTCCACCATCAAGAACAGTCTTTGGTAAGACTATAAAACTGCTCTTCTGGGTGAGGGGACTCGCTGTAACCTAAGTGTCGCCACACTCCCACTCAATACCGTGGATAAAAGCCACATACTGTAACTGGATTATTTTTAGCTGCATGACCCACCCACTCTGAGAAGCCTCATGATTGAATCTTTCTTCTTAGGTAGAGCAAAGAATACTAATCTAAGAAATCTAAAAGATAATTTAAAACAGAAAAACCCACTTCAGACTTCTAAATAATACTAATACAAAAGTGAAGTAAATTATTTGCAGAACATTTAATCTTCTTTGCTTATGACCCCTGAAATCAGGACTCACCATACTCAGTGTGGGTTCATGCTAAGAACTCTGTTCCATTATGTCAAATGCTAAGATGCTAAATCATTTCTATTTTCTAAAGCATTGGGTGGGGAAGAGCATCCTGTCTTGTACGATATGTATTTTAAAACTAAGTTTCTAAATCTTCCAAAAAACAAGTAGACCAAAAAAAAAAAAAAAAAAAAAAACCTTACCAACTAAAATGTCATCAACTTATAGAGGTCACAATTTAGGCACTCTTTCTTCTTTTCACACATAGATATTACCAAACTTGGAACCAGATGTCTTACTTTAGGTTAATTTTCATAGAAAGTTAATTTTCTTTTGGTTCCAGATAAGTAACAGAAAACATATAAATTTAAAGGTTAAAATAAATGGAAGAAACATATTTACAGTCAAAATTATACCCACAGAGGTAAAGCTTAAAAATGTATATATGCATGTCATGTATACATCGCATGTAAACATACAATGGAAGCTAAGAGGAAAGGGCAGTCCTTCGAATCTGCAGATCAATGCAGGGGTAAATGTAAGGGCTCCTCTGTGGGAGGGTCGGAGCCAGGTGGCACCATGCTGTTACTACTTTGAACTCCCTTTACAGGACCTACTCCATGAGACACAATTTCCTTGTCTTACAGTCACGGGATCCTCCAGGGGGTTCTCGATTTCAGCCTGTCGCAGGAACACATTCCCCCGGCACACCCGCCAAAGCATGCGCTCAAAAGTAGGGATGCGCTCCCGGTTAATCACACCAGCCACGAAGCTGTGGGGAGAAGAGGCAGATTGGGAAATCTGTTCCATGCCATGAGATGGAAGGTTTTAGGACAAAGGAGGAAAGTGAGAAGAGAGGGACAAAGACAATAAATATGAGGCAATGCGTATGTCAAAAGGGCTATGTCAAAAGGGCTGCTAAAAACCCAAAAGAGAGTTGACAAAACAACTCAGGAACTGAATCCAGATGGACTTATGAACGACTTTCAACAGGCTCAGGAGAGAGCGTATTCTGGAAGCAAGTGAATGCCCAGCCTTTTGCTCTTCTGAACAGCAAAAATGAACATGACTCCAATGAGTACAGAGGGCTCAAGTGGTACTTACCCAAGCCTCAAAGGTGTGCCTCTTCCCATCTCACTTGGCTCCAAGAGGGATGAGGACTCTTCCAACAGGTCTGGATCCGCCATCTGCTGATGATGCAATTCAGCCTGAATTCACAAATCAATTAATATCTAATGAAAATAGTTAGTGGCATGCAGGGAACGAGGAACCAGGAGATAAATTCAGAAAATAAAGATGAAAAACAAACCACCAAAAGAGAAGACATACCCACAAAAAGAAGACAAGAAGACTAGGGAAAAAAAAAAAACAAAGGAAAGAAACAAGAGGTAAAGAAAGCATAATTACCCCAGTAAAGCTTCTGGGGAAATGGTTTAAGAAATAAGGAATTAAAAAAAACCATTAAATGATGGTGACATGTATAAATCTTACTTGGTGGAAGGCATTTTTTTCTCCTATGTTTTCCTGAATAAGCCATGAAAATACCAGGAAATACCTTTGCATGTGGCTAGAAGCTAAAGAGTTTCTTTCTTTTGAGCAAAACAAGGTAGTTCTGTAGGCACTCTTCACATTAAATTTCCAGGCAGCTACAAACTAGAATTTCCCCTGTGTAAGAATGTGGCAGATGGAGACTCTTTTTCCAAGGAAGGAAGCAAGGTGTCGTCACTGTCTTAAACAGTGTGTGATCTGGAGAAAGGCAGAAGGGGCATCTCCAGATACCTAGGTTTTCTGTGCTCTTAAAAATGTAGACTATGAGAACTTTCAGCATGGCCACTGTATAAATGCTCCAAACCCTGGGATATAAAGAGTATTCCTTTCTCCAAAAGGAGAATCAGCATAATAGCAGGCCTGGTCCTCCACCACATTAAGAGAGGGAAAAAGGAATCTAAGAATATTAAAAAGTTCACATAGGCTTTACAGTTTAAGGATTCTTGAGAATATAACTCAATTCAACAATTTAAATGAGTGAAGTGAAGAAGGCAACAGATATTAAGCCAATATAGAGCGTGTAGGCTAGTTTAATCGTTTAGATTTAAAATGATTTCCACCATGACAATTTATACAATGAAATGAAGGAGGAGAGGGACATTCTCAGATGGAGGTCTATATTCCCTAGCCTCTCCCTATGCAACACATCCTACCACCTTTTCCATCCATTAGGAAGGAGAAGCTGCCCTAAAAAAATAAAGACCAATTGATTTCTCCACTGCCCAATCTCTCCAACTTTCATATCCATGCACTGTTTGACCAAAGACTAGAAGCAACCCAAAATAACCTTTCTTTTCAAAGGCAAAACTAAACAAACAAACAAACAACCAAAAATCAGGAAAACTTTTCTGCCTCATTTTCACTCCAAATTTCAATTTGATTTTACTCCTGTCAATGCCATTATCAAAAAAAAGCCACATGGGAACCTCAAGTCATGACTACAGATGTAAGTCAGAAAGCCTAAAAAAAGTTAAAGCAACTGTTTTGGGAAGTAAATCCTAGGATCAATTTTGATCCAAAAAAAAAAAAGGTAAGGGCAGGCACTGGGCATGCCAGTAGGGCAGAGAAACAGTACTATGAGATTTAGAAAAGTTTAAGATGCGATACTAGGGGCACAAGTTTCCACTTGCCGTCAAATGGGAGGTTAGGGGGCTCTTTTTGTTTCTACTTACAGTCAAATCAGCTGACTCCAAGATCCAGATGACTTGTATTTCAACTTGCTCTTGGGATGTCCCTTGGCAAAAAGTGAAATTGACTGCTACTCAGAGACTCCTGCCTACTTCCCCTCATGGTTCGTAAGACCTGGTTTGAGTAAACCCTAAAGATCAGACTCAGAGAGAACGTATGTGCTCTACGGGACAACTGATGGAATAGCACTCCTCCAAAGACTATATCTGAGACTCCTTGGGTATAAAAAACAAAACAAAACAAAGAACAGTGGGATTAAAATTAAATAGAAACTTATAATTATTTCTAATTCAAAATTTCACTACTTTATGCTCAAGAGTCCTAAGTCTTAGAGAAGATAGCTAAAAAGTTTTAAATAATATAATTGTGCCTAATGGGAAACTAGGATGACCAGACCGCTGAGGGTCTTTAAATCAATCTCTAAATGCAAGTCCTCCAGCATCTAACTCCTAACCTGGGTCCTCTTAGCAACAATAACAACACTGCCAAAGTTCCTCTAAATTACTTGCTATGCCCTCTGGCTTATTCCATCCCCCAGTCAGAATACTGAAACCATGCTTCGAAAAAAAGAAGTAACGGAGCTTCAGTACTATTTCTACCCTTAAGTATAAGGAGCATATCCAGGTCAAGCTACATTAATTACCAAGATCAAACACTTTTACTTCCATCTACGTTAAGAAAGAAATTACATTTCATCACCTAAGGTATTTGCCCAAGCCCCAAAGGAGATGGCAGATGGGAAAGAAAAGTAAAGAAAGCAGATGGATGGAAAACTCAGAAGGAAAGGAAGGCAGGGATCTGCATGCCATTAACCATTACTTTTCCAGTCTTCTTTACGTTCTCATATGTTATGGTGCTTATGGTAAAAGATGCAGAGAAATCTCTCCAGCTCTTACAGTTCTTCATAAGCAAGAAGACTGAGAAAAGGATAATCATTAACAAGTCATTTTAAATGCTCTGGATAAGAAATGGCTAAGTCGAATTTGTAATCATCTTAAATCATAAGAATATTCAATATGTGTTTACCTTTCCCCTTCTACACATCTCACCAATCATAACCCCTACACCAAAAGATGGAAAGAATCATTGTCTGATTTAGCCATTTTCTGCTAACTCATTATTATAAATTATTGATCACATTCATCAAAAGAAGGGTTTGAAATTGGTAGTGTTTTAGGCCATTTGCAAACCTTATAATTTCAGGCATGAAAGAAAATCTCATGAAAAAACTGTTTCCAAGACTTGAGGGTCCCAAGCTTCCTTATCGTTTGCATTACTTAAAACGGGCCCTCACATGTGCAAACATGCTTGTTCTGTGGTCTTGTCTCCTGTCATGTGACAGGAGCTGCTGTTTGGTAATAAGCAGGGCAAGGGTTATTGAAAGGCATGTGGCCGAGGCTACGAGCTAGTGGCAAGAATGGGCAAGGCACTGATCACACACTGGGAGGAAAGGAAGAGTGGCTCTTGGCAGATTTCCTGCACTGGGATGAGAGTGCTGGGAATGAGAAGGACTGATGATTAAAGAACCTTTTATGGCCAAGGCCTGGTGCTCAAAAGTACTTCCAAAGATTAAAAAGGAAAAAAAAAAAATGTTTGGCATGAGTGGGAGGGGCAAAGCAACTCACCATGGATTGGGCCTTAGGTCACGAAGACTTAAGATGTGCCTTCCCAGCATGAGCATTTCATGTTTAGACTTATTGATCATGAAGAAAATTCCTAAACCTATAACTTAACGATTTTAAAATCTTAAATCATCTTTCCATGTGGTTCCTCTTATTTCATTTTTACTACATATTTTTTAAGTAATAACATGAACAGTTTAAATTACTATTTCCCTGAAGGCCATCCATTTCAGTCTTTATTCGGAATTTCTCTTGGAATGAAGTAGACTAGGAAGCCTATTCCAATCCTTAAACTCAGGAGGTTATGAAAGATATTTTCTCACACTTCAGCAACATTCCAACAGTAAACAAAAGGCTATATTGAAAGAGAAAAAAAGGACTAGGGGGAGAATTAAGCCCCGAATGATGCTAAAAGGAGCTGAGCTTTGATCTTGAGGCCAGTTTTACATTGGATCTGTGGGCAGCAGCTTAGACATACTTAGAAAAGTTCACATCTATGAACACATGGAGGCATTGTGTCTGGGGATGTTTCCTGACATGACTAAGTGATACATTCCTTAGAGACTATATCTTACCCATCTGATGCCTCACAAAGAGTAGGTGTCCATCAAATGCTCAGTGAATTAATGAAGATAAATACAATAATGTTTAGGCAGTAAGCATACTGAAATTCTAGATTACTTATTCATTTAAAACCACGTGCCGTAAGTGGCCATACCTGTTGCAAGAGACCTGGAAGACTTGGAAAGAGTTAATCACACTGTCTCACACCCTCTAATGTGACCATATTGGGGACTGGTGAGAGACACTGCCATCCGTCTCAAAACTCTCAACTCAATGAGCAAGCTGAATATTCACACTAAACCTCTCCTGATACATAGCCAGATTCTGATCCTTGGGAGGGCTAGTGAATTGGATTCATACGAGCTTTTCCCCCTTTCCCTCACCCCAGCAGATCTTTTTAATTAGTTGGCTTCTCTGAGTCAAATCCTTAGTTATTGAAGAATGTATCACATCTTCAGCTGACTTTCTCTAGCCCAGTGGTTCTCAAACTAAGGTGCCTCCATTTTTTAAAAGCTCTGCCACGATTTTTTTTTTGAGCAAAGGAAATAAAGAACTTTACGGGAAGGCATACTGAACACTGACTAGAACAATCTCTGAAGTGTCTGATGTTGCTAACCTGGTGGCAAAGACACTTGTTAAAAAGAGAAGTTACTCATATTTTAGGCCACCAGTAAAAGCATGTTCAGGCTGAAAGCTAAGACTCCTCCCCAGGTTTAATTAGAAGGAAGCCTTCTGAAAGCCTTACTCCTAATCCCTTCCATGGGGTCACCTCAGCAAGCTGCCATCTGGCAACTTAGTCACCTGTGTTTATAAACCAAGAACTTATTAACGTTTTCCCATTTTTCCCTATAAGATAATGCAGTTGAGTTTATGTGAAAATCCAGAAATTCCAAACAGGCGTCCTACCAATATTTCCAACATTAAAAAAAAACTTAAAAAAATTAAAATGTAACATGTGCTATCTGAAGTAGTTCAAAATGTGCTCAAAGGTTGATAAGAAAACATAAAAAATTAAAATTTGAAGACAAAAGGTTTGGAGAGTAAACCTTTGTTAAAACGTCACGTGTTAACCAAATGTTTCTTGTTGCTTCAACTTTAACCTTAAATATTTACTTACCTTAAAATAGAATGTAAAAATTTCAACTAATTATGTTTATATAACTACTGCAGGGTTCCTTTCCCATCTTGAGATGAAAAACTGCAGAAAATGTAAAAATATACAAAACTATGGCTGGCTGTGTACTGCATGACAAATGGAACATAATCTGACTAAATCAAACTAAAACAGGGTGTAAAAATGGTATTGCTTTCAAATTAGCAAATTAAAAATAATTATTGGAATAAAAACATGGCCCACTTGTGCTGGTGGATTTATCGGCTGCTTAAATACTAAAAGAAACAATAGTCTGACCTCATCAAAAAACTGCTGAGTTTTGCGAAGTATAAATTTTAATTCAGTCAGTTCCAGAAAGTTTCTCTTCAGAGCTTCCTGGTTTGTGTTGATTTCTTTCAGTTCATTTTCAATCTTCTCAAAATTGGCCTATGGAAAAAAAAAATTCAAACTATTAACTCAAACTAAGCTCAAAGTGCTTGCTCTGAAAGACAGATGAATTCAAACCTCCTATAGAACTCTTGACACCCTGACAGTTCAAGGATATCTTATATTTACCCTGCATATATGAGATTTTGCCAGGGTAAATATTTTATGAAAAATGTTGCTTAAAATTGTCTTTCTTTGTCTATAGATTCTATTATACACATGGTTGAACTTCTCAGGGGACTTCAGATAGATAAAATAAATATTTAAAAGTCTATTGGCTATTCATCCATTTAGTCTATGAGATTAAAAAAAATTAACTGACATTAATCCAATAAGGTTTCAATAAACATTTATCTAGTGGCATGTGTTACTGTTTCAGATACTGTTCTATATCATAAAAAAAGGGACTTCTTTTTAATCCCATTCACAAGAAACGTGCAATCAATAGACAGTGCTGACAAGGACAGCAAGAATTACTCTACTCTCCATCCACTGAGAAATGTCTGCGTTTACGTAGAAAGGAACTCATCTGGCTTCCTCGGGATGGTTTACCTCTAGGTCAATCATGTCCCGCGGAAAGGGCACCTCTGGATTTTCGCCAGTGTCCATTATTGGGATATTAGCTTTTCTTATCTCTTTCTCAACAAATCCTAAAATGACAGAATGAAAACATTCATGTATAGCACATGCCAATATTTCAGGGGGCAAAAAAAAAACAACCCCGAACCCGGCTAAAAAGAGCTTCATTCTAAGAAAGATACTTTCACATAAAAGAAGCAGAACATGGAAATCTTTCTTCCTCTACATTCCTCTTCCTCCTTCCCCACACTCTAAAGCACAGCTACCCTAAAGAGGGTTATCATTCCACTACTGTCTTCTTTCCCTCTTCTGATCTTCAAACTGGTCCCCATCTGCTTCAGCTCTTCACCCCATGTGACTGCTACCCCGGAGCATGGTGGTTCTGGTCATAGGTACTGCTGGCAGAGCACAGCTATAACAAAGCCAATTCAATAGAAAATTTGCTAATTGACACACTAGTGAGACAACTCCAAATCAAAAGGATTTCATATATTCGAAAACAATCAGGTCAATTTAAGTGAAACATAATAAATGAAAAGCAAGAGGAGGAATAAGACCCGAAACACCAGAAAAGTTTCAGGTGACAACTACTTACTTTTTCTAGGATGGGGATCAAATACACCTATAAGCTAACTAAAAGCTGGCATAGTATAGCAAGATCTTGGGTTTTAGAGCCAGACAGAACCTGGATTCGAATACTGATTCTATCACGACCACTTACATTCTCGGGCAAGTCACTTAACCTCTCTGATCCTTGGTTTCAGAGATTAGAAATTAAATTAAATGAGGTTAACACTCATCTTGAAGGAATGTTGTGGGAAATGAATGAAATAAAGTATATGAATACCCTAACTTTCAATAGGATCTTTATAAAACGTTAGTTTCTTCCCTCGTAAATAGCTCAGATTAAGAGGTGGCTATGCTGACATCTGCAATCGATGGTGGTCTGGGTCCTTTCAGAATGCTATAGTGTAGTACTGCTATAAAACCCTTCCTACAAAAAATAACCAGTGTTTTCAGCTTGCAGCTTTGTCACCTCAGACAAGGTTTCCATTAAGCACCACCTAGCCCAAACACCAAAATTCTACTTGGATACGAAAAATTCATCTTAACATCAGGATCACAAGATTTTTCCTCTTTTCTTTTTCCTCTATAGCATCCCGTTCCTTTATTAAGAAGAATATTAAGAAGAATAGTGCCTCTAATTTAAGACAAATGACTCATTATAGGAATATCATACAAGACCAAAATGCACATACGAAGCTTTCGATCCATTTCTTCACATCTTCTAACTTCATTTACAAATTTCCTCTGGAAAACATTCACATCTGGGTTTAACTGCAAAACAAGAACATAGTACCAAATATTCAAACACTACACCTATTTCCTGTTTCACAAGCAACACATCTTGCAAAGTGGAAACTTAATTTTGTATCAGTGTATGATGCAACACAATAAAAACTGTCTACTGATCCACATAATCTACTTTGAGGCCAGTCATAGCAACTACAGATAAAAACCCTTCCCTCACGGATGCAACATATTGTTGGAATGGAAGCAAATTAGACAAAGCACAGTGGTATGAAATGTTCTTCCAGACCAAAAGTTTCGGTGAGCCCCCCGTCCTCCACTACCACTAAAAATTCGGACAATGAATATAATAAACACTCTGTGTGGTTTTCCTTCTCTCCTTCCCAACCAGAAGAGACAGAAGGCAAACTCCTCTTGTTCTTCTGTCCTAGGGCCAGACTGGTTTATTCATTCATATATCACAAGTAACTTTCAAAGCAAGGTGACAGATATTCTGGGAAATACAAAAAAGAATAAAAGAAGCTCCTACTCATTAAGAAGCTTGGAATCTAGTACAGAAGAAAGATGAACATAACCAATAAGATAACATGTGATAAATTCTGTAAAAGTAAGAAAATAAAAAATGACTCGCTCAATATTTATGGGGTACCAAACTGTGCCAGACATTGTATTATATACTGGTATAAACAAAGAATAAGATATGTCCTAGCTTTGTGGAGCTCAGAAACAGACACAAACCAATTAATACAATTTGTTGTGACATACTTTATTAAAAAAGTAAAATACTGTAGGCAGTTTCCTATACAGTTAAACATATACCAACCTACCTCATGGTTGAGCATTCCACTACTAGCTACTTATATAAGGAAATGAAAACACATCCAGAGACTTATACAAGAATGTTTACAGCAGCTTTATTCACAATAGCCCCAAACTGGCAATGATCCAAATGTCCATCAACAGGAGAATGGATAAAGACATTGTGGTATATTCATACAATGAAAAATTATTACTCAGCAATGAAGAAGAATCAACTAAAGATATACGCAAAAACAGATAAATCTCGAATTCATTAGGCTGAAAGAAGTAAGACATGAGTTTGAAATGCATTTCATTTACATGAAGTTCAAGAACAGGCAAAACCAATCTATGATGATAGAATCAAAGTAGTAGTTACCTAAGGGCAGAAGTGAGCACAAGATAACTTTCTGGGCTGCTGCAAATAAATATTCAATATCGTGATTGGTGTGGTGGTTACAAAGGTGTATAAATTTACCAAAATCATCAACTCGTACTCTTAAGGTCCATGCATTTTACTGAATATAAATTTTACCTCTATAAAAAAATATGGTGATGGGGTGGAGGTTGGGGATGAGCATACACAGTAGGAGTAACTAATTCTATCTTGGGCATAAAGAAAAAAATGTCAAAGATAACCACCTGAGCTGGAACTAGGGAGGACGAAATGAAGTTCACCAAGCAGAAACAGGCAGAATGGAAGCAGAAAGATTATGACAAGTGACTCGTGACTCAGAGACATAAATAAATCATATATTCAGAGAAGGGGAGACATTTGCTGTAGCTGAAGAGAGGGGCTATGTAAGAAGCAAGAAGCAGGCAACTTCATCCTATGGGCAATAGGGAAACATGATCAATTTTTAAAAAATATTTTTTAAATAAATAA